TTGTTTATTTATTTTGCTTTCTGTCAGGAGTCTCTTTGTAAAACCTCTTCGGCTGTCACACCGGCAGAGCTCTCTTGTCACTAATGTTCACTTAGTGCTCGGTGACGGTAATCGCGCTTCGGGTCGCTCTTCACTATCTCTAAGCATTCACTAATTCGCTCCTTTAAAAGCAATGAATTATGGTTGTTCAATGGAAATATATGGCGACTCGTTTCAGCTGATTTGTCAATGTGTTATCGTGTGTGATGGTATGAGGGATGAGAACACTGCAAAATATGTATTTTTAATCAGTTATTTTGTTATGTTTTCTGGAAATAATGTACAGTATAAAATCCTTGAAAAAAAGAAATTAGCTTGAGAAGCAAAGTTGTGTTGGATAGTAAAACTTGTTTTCATAGAATGCATTTTAAGTTTTAGAATTATTAAGGTTGGTTGGTTGGTTGGTTGGTTGGTTGGTTGATTGATTGATTGATTGATTGATTATGATTGATTGATTGATTATGACTGATTGATTGATACAGTTCAACTAAAAAATGTAAATCCTTATTTAGCCTTCCTGCTATGGATCTAAATATTGGATATTTTGATTATTTTCCATATAAAGCCATTTTAAAGTGATTGTGACTGTTAAGCTCCAAAAATAATAATATGCTACATGTGACCCTGGACCACAAAACCAATCATAAGTAGCACAAGTATATTTGTAGCAATCTGTATGGGTCAAAATGATCGATTTTTCTTAAGATATTTAGTAAAGACCATGTTCCATGAAGATATTTTGTAAATTTCCTACCGTAAATATATCAAAACAGAATTTTTGATTATTAACATGAATCACTAAGAGCTTCATTTGGACAACTTTAAAGACAATTTTCTCAATATTGGTCGCTCTTCACTATCTCTAAGCATTCACTAATTCGCTCCTTTAAAAGCAATGAATTATGGTTGTTCAATGGAAATATATGGCGACTCGTTTCAGCTGATTTGTCAATGTGTTATCGTGTGTGATGGTATGAGGGATGAGAACACTGCAAAATATGTCTTTTTAATCAGTTATTTTGTTATGTTTTCTGGAAATAATGTACAGTATAAAATCCTTGAAAAAAAGAAATTAGCTTGAGAAGCAAAGTTGTGTTGGATAGTAAAACTTGTTTTCATAGAATGCATTTTAAGTTTTAGAATTATTAAAGTTGGTTGGTTGGTTGGTTGGTTGGTTGATTGATTGATTGATTGATTGATTGATTGATTGATTGATTGATTGATTGATTGATTGATTGATTGATTGATTGATTGATTGATTGATTGATTGATTGATTGATTGATTGATTGATTGATTGATTGATTGATTGATTGATTGATTGATTGATTATGATTGATTGATTGATTATGACTGATTGATTGATACAGTTCAACTAAAAAATGTAAATCCTTATTTAGCCTTCCTGCTATGGATCTAAATATTGGATATTTTGATTATTTTCCATATAAAGCCATTTTAAAGTGATTGTGACTGTTAAGCTCCAAAAATAATAATATGCTACATGTGACCCTGGACCACAAAACCAATCATAAGTAGCACAAGTATATTTGTAGCAATCTGTATGGGTCAAAATGATCGATTTTTCTTAAGATATTTAGTAAAGACCATGTTCCATGAAGATATTTTGTAAATTTCCTACCGTAAATATATCAAAACAGAATTTTTGATTATTAACATGAATCACTAAGAGCTTCATTTGGACAACTTTAAAGACAATTTTCTCAATATTTAGATTTTTTTGTACCCTCAGATTGCAGATTTTCAAATAGTTGTATCTCTCAAATATTGTCATATCCTAACAAACATATCTCCTATATCAATGGAAAGCTTATTTATTCAGCTTTCAGTTTATGTATAAATCTCAATTTCAAAAAAATGAATGTCTGGTTTTGTGGTCCAGGGTCACATGATATTTCAAGTCATATGATTCACTTTTGTGAGGATCAGAACCAAATTATGTTGTTAGTGAGTTGAACTCACTATGAATGAATCGGTTTGATTCATTAACCAATTGTTCAGTTTGTGCTTTACAATGTTTCATTTGTGAACAATAGTTACTAGTTAATTAACATGAAATAAGAATGAACAATACTTCTACAGCATTTATTAATCTTAGTTAATGTTTATCTGAATATTTACTGCATATACATATTTTTTAAATCAAAACTTGTATCTGGAAACAGTTAATGCACTGTAAACTAAAATTAACATTTTTATTAACTAATAATAATGAAAGTTAACAAATACTGTAATAATATATTGATTTAATTAATAGTATAATGCATTACTAGTATAATACCTTAATAGTTTATGTTAGTTAATGCATTAAGTATAGTTAGAAAATGTGTTACCATTGTTTCATTGAAAAGCTCAAAAGAAAGATTCAATCATTGATTAAAACACTTGACTATTCCTTAAGCATACTGATGGACATGTTGGACATGTGTTTAAAAAAATGAGAAAAATAACTTGCAATAATTCATGATTATTGAAAACATTCTCTGAAAACATATTTTTTATAAAGTACTTTTTTCTTAAATAAAGTAAATGTAACTTGTTTTAATGATGTTTACATGAACAGTATTTTTTGCATGTTTTCTGGAAAAATAAAATTATTTTTGTAGTACATATGAGGCAGTCACATGTGGCATGTTTCTCCACTGTGACTCTCCCGGAGTCACGCCATGAAAACGAAAGGCATATTTGCTTGTGTCACTTATCATAGGAATAGCTGCAGCAGTCTGTGCAGGGGTTTGTGTGTGTGTGTGTGTGTGTTCTGCCTCTTGTGTATACACAGAGTGAGTCACCAGCGAGCACAGCACACACACTGGGAAGCAAGACAGATGCTGGGTTTGCACTCGGTGTAAAAAGCTATTACCCCTACCAGCGCGGTGCCTCTTTGAAAACGCGGCGCCACGAGGCAGCTTCTAAATGCAGACGGAAGCAGAGCTTAAAGAGGAAGTCGCGAGTGGGCTGAGAACGATGTGGGAATGAGGGATGTTGGAATGAACTCTGTGTGTGTGCATGTCTCTTGGTGGTAGAATCATTATCGGAGATATTTTATGACTATTTAATGACTCTTGTGGTGAGGGGGTGGTTTAATTACTCTAATTAAAGGGATAGTTCACCCAAAAATGAAAAATGTCATTATTTACTCGGCTTCATGACGGTCCCAACCTGTATGACTTTATTCGTCCTTGGAACACCATACTGTAGGTGAATTTTTGATGAATATCCTGATTGCTTTTTTTCCATAAAGGAAACAGAATGAGGACAATGGCTGTCAAGCTCCAAAATGGCAAAAAAGCTCACATACTGACTCACGTGCAGTATTCAGAGTCATACAATAGCTTTGTGAGATGAAATAAAGACCAAAATGTAAGTCATTATTCACTGAAAATTCACTGTTGCTTCTAAATGCAGACGGAAGCAGAGCTTAAAGAGGAAGTCGCGAGTGGGCTGAGAACGATGTGGGAATGAGGGATGTTGGAATGAACTCTGTGTGTGTGCATGTCTCTTGGTGGTAGAATCATTATCGGAGATATTTTATGACTATTTAATGACTCTTGTGATGAGGGGGTGGTTTAATTACTCTAATTAAAGGGATAGTTCACCCAAAAATGAAAAATGTCATTATTTACTCGGCTTCATGACGGTCCCAACCTGTATGACTTTATTCGTCCTTGGAACACCATACTGTAGGTGAATTTTTGATGAATATCCTGATTGCTTTTTTTCCATAAAGGAAACAGAATGAGGACAATGGCTGTCAAGCTCCAAAATGGCAAAAAAGCTCACATACTGACTCACGTGCAGTATTCAGAGTCATACAATAGCTTTGTGAGATGAAATAAAGACCAAAATGTAAGTCATTATTCACTGAAAATTCACTGTTATTCACTGAATCATGAACGAATCTTTTTTTATTTTATTTTTTTATCTGATCTTTTCAGTGAAACTTTAATTCATTTCCAGTCTGAATGATTCATTAATTCAGTGAGAATTCTTCATGGGAGACGTAGCAATGTACAATTTGTGAACAAATCATTAGTTTGAATTGGATCTTTTCAATGAAATGGTCATTCAGTTCCAGTCTAAATGATTCATCCAGTGAAAACTGTTCATGAGAAAAGTAGCAACGTCCAGTTTGGGAGCAAATTATTGTTTTGAATCAGATCTTTTCAATAAATCCTTAATTCAGTTCCAGTCTGAATGATTCATTCACTGAAAATCCTTCATTAGAAAAGTAGCAATGATTGATTCATGAACAAATCATTCTTTTATATCAGATCTTTTTTAACATATCATTAATTCAGTTCCAAATTGAATGATTCATTCACAAACCTGACTGAATCATTTTTCAAGATCATCTATGACTAATAGCTCACTGGACATTATCAGTGTATAACAATTTTTTTGGAAAATATTGTCAGAAGACTTAAATATACACTGAAAATGGCGTAGAAACAATTTTCACTCATAAAGTGCTAGTAAATTTTCACAATGACATTGGAGATGGTAAGTTACATTGAATTAATCTTGAAATTTTGATGTAGAAAAGCTAATGAATGTACCTTCTGAAATATACTCCAATAATAAATAAATGAATAAAACACAAAAATTTTTACAGTGAAGAGCATAACTCAAATGGACCGATTTTTGATATTTTATGGTGTTTTGCATCATTTTGCAAAGCTTGAATCCTTCAAACTCTATTTATTGTAGTTGCATGGAAAAGAACGACTAGCACAATCTTAGAAATTTCTCTTTTTGTGTCCTACAGAAGAAAGAAAGTCATACAGGTCTAAACTGACATGAGGGTGAGCGAAAAATGACAAAATGTTCATTTTTGAATGAACTATCATTTTAATGACAATTTAATGACTGTTAATGACTTAATTATTCTAATTAGGGATCTTCAGCTCACTCTTTCTCTCTCTCTTTCTTTTACCCCCCACAGGTCCCTCACCAGATGAGCACTCTGACCTTCTACAGGTACGAGCAGCCCATAGTGGACTACTGCCAAGCCCATCAGCCCCTGCGGCTCAACATGAGCTACGAGGGGCCGCCGCAAAGCCTGGAGGGGCTGGAGGAGCTTCCCCCCCGCGAGAGGAGCACCATCCAGACTGTGGCCCTTCCGGCAGTGCCCACCATCAACATGGGTATCACGGGACCCTGCTCCCCACCCAGCCAGAAAGCACCCATGGAGGGGCCCAGCATCCTCTACCCCACCACAGAACGCTCCATTAACTATCCAACAACAGAACGTTCCACCAGCACCCTCACTTTTAGACGCTAACGGCTCCGCTCGCAAAGCAAGGCATGATGGGTAATTTCAAAAGAGGATGTGCCTGGGCGGTGATCCACATTCTGCCGGCATTAACGCAGCGGCATATCTGAAAACTGTGCATACTGCTGCGCGCTAACTGTTTCTCGCGAATATAGAGAAGTGAAAAACATTCCCACGACATCGCTGGAGGACACGAGGATCTGGCATACAGTACACTTTCAGTGTGGAGTGTAGTGTATCCTGGAAAATGGGATTCCATTCGTCTTTTTCCATCTTTTCTTTGTTACGACTCAAAGGCCCGTACACGTTTTGTTGTTCCCGTTCTGCTCAATGGCAAATTGAAATCCAATGCAATATGCATGAGACGTTAAACGTGGCTTTGGTTTCATTCAGCCCTCGCTCTGTACCGACACTACAGGACGCCTTCTCTGAGGAGTAGATAATGGTGATTCTCTCATGCTGAGTGAAGAATGAATAGGAATGTGCAATAAACAAGGTTTTTTTGACGAGGGAGAGAGTGTGAGAACGAGAGAATGAAAAGAAACAAATTAATGTTCACCAGAGCTCAAAGACCTCTCGCTGTTATTTTCATTTAGTTGCCAGGGAGCGCTCATAAATGCTGTCATTATTTGATTAAAAAGACAGATCTGTCCAGACATGAGCATCTCAGATGGAAGATCTCTTTAGTATAAAAAAAAAGCATTCATTAAAAGCGAAATGAAGTCTCACGGGGCAAGGTCTTTCAGAGTGCACATGTACCAAAGATCAAGCTTCTTTAGATGTACATATAGCTTGTGTTTCTTTTCAAAATGTAATCAGACTAATCAGTATGTGTCTAATGCATACTGTAATGGGCCGCCAGAGTTTATGACTAATTTTCAATTCTGTAGAATTCAATACTGAAATGCAGAGTGAAAAACATCAAGCTCAGTGTTTGAACGCTACTTGTTGACTAGATAGTGTATGTGTGTGTTTGCTTGTGAGTGTGTATGGGTTTTTTTTGTTTTTGTTTAAAAGCTGAAGTGTGTAATTTCTGCGCCCAGTGGTGTGAAAAATAATGACTTCAGTGTTTTCGAAAAGGTTTCCCTTATCTGCCATTGGTCAGGCAAACAGAAGCCACGCCCTCAAACCTACGCCATTGTTGCTATGTTGGCCTGTCAGAGTTTAAACAAACAAACAATGTTTTGATAGTGCCACAGTGTTTACATGTGTCTGCTAAGCCATCCGCTTGTTCATACTTGTTACTGAATACTAGTTGTCTCTGCTTTTCGCTAAAAAGCCAAAAAATTACACACTTCAGCTTCAAGAGGGAAGAATCATAAGAACGCGAAGCAAACGTCCCTCACTCGCTTAGCATGTTGGAGTTACCATACAGTGGCGGAAATATCTTCATCGCAAGTATGCAACGCATCGCAAGCGTGCACACTGTTGTAACACACCTCCAGTGGGAGCGGTATTACGCTGTGTGTGTATATATTATTGTTACTAGCTATACGTCATTGAAGAGTGTGCTAACTTGCTCAGCAATATTTTCTTCAAACTGTTGCTACGCTGTGACAGTAATTGACCTAAATGGAAAAACTGAGAACGCTGAAAATTCAACGCATACTTGAGTTTCTGTGTGAAATGGAGCTTGGCTAGAAGCGTTTGTATGCTTGTGTAGAACATGTTTCTGACCAAAATGATCCTTCTAACCCATTTTCAAATGGCTTTCCAATGATCTAACAATAACAAAGCATGAATCTCTATCAAGAGCCTCCAGTTGTATCGAAGAGTGTTAACCAAGAGATTTTCTGATTCCAGATGTCACTCAACAAAGTAGCTACATGGATGAAATTGCTATAATTGGCTATAACAGCAAGACGTATGGGAGACCCGAGACAATTGTAATAGCAATTTTCCTATATAACTCAGACTACTACAACTCTACATGCCATGTGTTGATGTACGAAATGTATATGTTCCAGCTGTAATAATATCATTACATTGAATTTAATGCAAGTAGTCAGAGTGTTATGGGTTCGATTGTGACAGTGACCAAGGGCAATCATAACACTTACAAAAAAAAATGTTATTAGCCCATTGTATCTCAAATAAAAGTGCACATCAAAATAATAGCATTATTGATTTAATATGTAGTGATGTAATATGTCTATTATTGAATTGTTTTCACAAAGTCTAAGTGGAAAATTACAGTATATTACATATGCTTTATATTCAGTATATATATATATATATATATATATATATATATATATATAAAAAATATATAGAAAAAATAAATATTGTAAATTATTAATACACTAATAACTGTTTTTTTCTGAATATATTTTAAAATGTAATTTATTCTTGTGATGTTAAAGCTAAATTTTCAGCGTCATTACTCCAGTCTTCAGTGTCACATGATCCTTCAGAAATCATAATATGCTGATTTGATCCTCAAGAAACATTATTTTTATCTGTTTAAAACAGTTGTGCTGCTTTTGTCATTTTTTTGAAACTGAGATTCTTTTTTTCAGGATTATTTGATGAGTTAAAAAACATAATTTAAAAAAAAAATAGAAATCTTTTGTAAGATTAGAAATGTCCTTATTGTCACTTTTGTACAGTTTAATGCAACCTTGCTAAATAAAAGCATTAATTTCTTTAATAAATAAATCTTACTGACCCTAAACGTTTGGATTTATGAACAGTATTGTCATGTGTTTGTCTCCGTTTGGTTCAGTTCCTGTCCTCATTTAGTTAATCATTGTTTATTCCGTTCACCTGTTTTGACTGAGTTCTCCACCTGTTTCAGTTTTGCCTATCACGTTCCATGTGTTTATATACCCTGTGTTTTCCTCAGTTCCTTTGTCTTGCTTTGAAGTTACGTTGTGGTGTTTTACTCCTATGTCCTTCTGTTTAACTCTTGGTTTGATAATTAAAGACTCACTTCTGGATTACCCTGCACTGTGTGCTTCATCCCCACCACATCGTGACAGAAAGCAAGACCTTAAAGCTGAAAGTAAGCAGCATCTTTTCCCCCGTGTTTGTTTTCCGCCTCTTTGAATAGTTTTTGTTTTCCCATTTTTTCCCCACGGCATGGAAACCGCCATACGTTTCGCTGCTCTGAAGACGAGCCTGCCGGCCGCTACGAAGTCAAGCCTGCCGAGCCCCTGAGTCCGGTCCAGTGTCGGCTCCAGCCCCAGAGCTCGCTCCAGTGTCGGCTCCAGCCCCTGAGTCCGCTCCAGTGTCGGCTCCAGCCCCAGAGCTCGCTCCAGTGTCGGCTCCAGCCCCTGAGTCCGCTCCAGTGTCGGCTCCAGCCCCAGAGCTCGCTCCAGTGTCGGCTCCAGCCCCTGAGTCCGCTCCAGTGTCGGCTCCAGCCCCAGAGCTCGCTCCAGTGTCGGCTCCAGCCCCTGAGTCCGCTCCAGTGTCGGCTCCAGCCCCAGAGCTCGCTCCAGTGTCGGCTCCAGCCCCTGAGTCCGCTCCAGTGTCGGCTCCAGCCCCAGAGCTCGCTCCAGTGTCGGCTCCAGCCCCTGAGTCCGCTCCAGTGGCGTAGAACATGTTTCTGACCAAAATGATCCTTCTAACCCATTTTCAAATGGCTTTCCAATGATCTAACAATAACAAAGCATGAATCTCTATCAAGAGCCTCCAGTTGTATCGAAGAGCTGAATAAACCAATATTTTCTTTAGTTGAGTTCAGAAAGAGGTGGTCAGTAACCTCAGATCATGGAGTGTTAACCAAGAGATTTTCTGATTCCAGATGTCACTCAACAAAGTAGCTACATGGATGAAATTGCTATAATTGGCTATAACAGCAAGACGTATGGGAGACCCGAGACAATTGTAATAGCAATTTTCCTATATAACTCAGACTACTACAACTCTACATGCCATGTGTTGATGTACGAAATGTATATGTTCCAGCTGTAATAATATCATTACATTGAATTTAATGCAAGTAGTCAGAGTGTTATGGGTTCGATTGTGACAGTGACCAAGGGCAATCATAACACTTACAAAAAAAAATGTTATTAGCCCATTGTATCTCAAATAAAAGTGCACATCAAAATAATAGCATTATTGATTTAATATGTAGTGATGTAATATGTCTATTATTGAATTGTTTTCACAAAGTCTAAGTGGAAAATTACAGTATATTACATATGCTTTATATTCAGTATATATA